GCCGCTATCTCCTGCCATTATTTCCGTCATTGATTGGTTCGAGGATGATTAGGAAGACCATATGAAGAGTTTTATCAATATTTTAAAGTTTTATGACTTACGAGAGTGCTTTTAGCTTATAAACTTCTAGTAGTTTTATTTTAAAGTGCACGACGACCTAGATTTGAATAGCTTGGGATATTATTATTAATCTTTTACTTAGAATATTTTATATTTCATGAATTATGATATTTTTATATATGATAAATAACACATTAAAATTTTTAAAAATGAATAATTTTGCATAAGCTAATTAAGTGCTACCCGGTATCGGATTGAACGCATAGTAAAACTGTGTTTTCGAGCCTTAGGTCTAGGCGAGCGCCTAAGCAGGCACCCAGACCCTTTTTTTAAATAATGGTTGTCTTGGAGCATGTAGACCTCATCACTCATATCATGGTAGCTCATTTCGAAAATCAATTGGTAGCATAATTCAGTATCCCCATATATGTGTGTGTCATGTGTCTATATGATGTTTCAAGAATTTCTCAAATCATCAATGACAAAATATAAATTTTATTATTTTTGTTGCCTACAATGTTTAACCAAGTATTAAATCATAATTCCCTAGTTAGCATGTCCATAAATGTATCGTTTATATTCTAAGGATTTTCCCTTACCATAGCCTTTAATTAAGGTTATACGCGTAACTAAAATTGTCCTTAGATTGAAGATCGAGTATCCTAAGCGTTTAATGATAATTTACCCATAATAGCCTTCATATAGTCAAAACATCACTACGTAGTGGGAATTGACAAGCAGAAATCACCAAATAAAGGGGAAGAGAGAAACAAAAACTCAAAATAAAAGTGCGATAACTTGAAATCTGATGTGTTACTAATAATTGAGCAACAACAAAGTCCATGTCTTCGGTTATCTCAAACTAATAAATTCCCAACTAAGAACAAATGAATAAAAACAGGAGATGGTTTCATGCAATTTTGATACGAATAAAAAAATGATGAATTAAAACAATAGTTTGATATAGTGATATTATGGCATAAGCTTGTCGGCGGTACACTAATTAGTATAGCCTTTTTTCTCCTTTATTTCACACTAAATTGCCCAGTACTTGTAAGGCTCCACCACTCTACTATACGCTAGTATACAAGGGACTCATAATAACTTGCCAGATGCTACTATAATGCTAATACTCACACAGATCAAATCTCGCTACACAATTAAAACTCCATATGCTCTCGTGCTTTCTATAACAGCATATTTACCGGTGATGGATCCAACTTTTTCTTTTGACCAGTGTTCAAAAACTCAGAAACATTGTCTGTATATCTGTACAATTACTCGAACGCAACCCATTTCCGCTTGGAAATAGGCAGAATCGCTCAATTATGCATACACCAACATAATTGAGCAATTAATGGGTTATGCGCCCGCATAACAGAGCTATACGGGTGACTTTTGCTTTCAATGCAATAGGTCTTGAACATAAAAATTGACCCGAATCCATTAAAATCAATAAAACCTAACGTTTCTAAATCGAAGCCCTAATTCCTAAGCCTTTCTCCCCCTCTCTCTCTCTCCA